TGATGTGTCTTTCGAATGTTCTATCTTGCGCTCATCTCTCTCTCTTTCTTGCTTTTCTCTATATAGGCGCATATTGTATGTGAAGTAATTATGTTTTAGAGATATAAACTAGCTCAATAACCATAAATTCCGAGGACGGCGGCCAGTTATTCTTTTAGTTTGTCGTTAAAATAGAGAAAATTCATTTTGAAGGAAAAGCTTGCACGAATGAATAAACTACTAAACTAGAACCAAAAATGGTAGAACAAAAAAAATGCAATACCTATTGAGTAGTGGTAGTTTCTAATCAAAACCTTAGTGGTATTGAAATGATTCGTAGAACTGAGATCAGAATAAGATCGATAATTGAAAACATCGATTGCAGCTACGGAAAACTGGTAAGATCTTATTGATATGTAAATAAGAATCCATGTCAAAATTCAATTTTATCAAAAGAAGTTTTATACAGTGTTTTATACAATTGTTTTGAAAAAATAGACTTGTGTATTTTAGTTGATGAGGCTTGTTTTGAACAATAATTTCAAATGAAATTACGTGAAATAAAATTTCATAGTAATTCCAATGAAATGATAAAAAGTTCATGTAAATCATTCGAATCATTGAAGAGTTATTTATGTTTTATTTCTATCCGACCTTGTAGGACATATTTCAGATTGAATGTTGCTTGAAAAATATAGTTATCTTTAAAAGAGAGAATTATGAAGACTTAAAAATTGATTCGCAGTTTGGAAAGAAAAAAAGAATTATCCAGATGTTTAGTCGATTGCAGCAACTCGATTTTAGCTGAAACTGACGCTGTCTTTCTATTGAACAGTGAATTGTACTTTCATATTTCTTTCAACTAATGATTTTTACTCACCAATTAATTCATAATTGGATCGAGAGTAATTCTTGGTTATTACCAGCAAATGATAAGGATGAGTGAAAACCAACGCCAAGCATCACTTTTGCCCTATTTTTCAAATTAGAAAACAAATCAATATAATTTGTTCAATTCTAATATCACTCGAAAATTCATTTAGTTCGATAGATATATTTGTTTCAGTTACAATTTCACCCTAATCAACCAATGGAGTTACATAAAATTAAGGTAGTGCGATTCCAGTGTAAAAACCAAATAAAACTAATATAGCAAGTTACCGACACACTGACATTCACTCAACATTAACTACAATAATATTGGTGCTCACTGAAACGTTTAGACATCAATGCTAACTTTGATAGACTACAATTGATATACAAAATATTATGTCATCATTCGGATGAAAAATACAGAAGCAAATAAAACTTTTAATCGATGAAAGTGTATCCGATTGAAAATAGTTTTTTTCATATTTCTTTCTTATAACTGATTTTATTCAACGTGATATTCTAGTAGTAAATGACGGAGTTATCGTTTCACTCTGTGCCCATCTATGGAGTAGAAATTTGAATTTTTTTCATGGGCCATGACAGATATTTCATTTCAATAACTAATTAATAAATAGTTAATGAGTAATTAATGATAAGAATATTGAAGAATTCAGCGAGAAAGTGGATCATCCTGTTCTGTTCACGGACTATGACAGGTATCTGGTAACCTTGCCACCGACTTTGCATGACATTGTTAATATACGGATAAAGATCGTACATCCACAAACGCCTTATTATGATATATGAACTACTTTCTCATTCTAGTTCTGATGGAATAGTTAAAAGAATAATTTAGAAATATGCTACAAAATAGATAAAATAAAAGAATATCTCTGAAATTAACAAGAACAACTATATTATGTTGACATTACGCTAACAGCTTTTATATTTTTCTTCATACTCTATTCAGTTCTAACTTTTATTCTGATTCATTATTCAATTTTAATACACACTAGCGCAATGGAAGAGTGAAGTCTATTATCTTTGGCATTATCTTTTTAATAGTATGTTTATTCTCTGAAAGTTTTTTACTTTTTTCTATTTTATTAATATAATTGTTTCCCGAAGATTTGTTCTTTTTTTCTTCGTATTATTAAAGTAGCACTCATATTTATTTTGAAGAAAAGCATCTTAATAATTTAAAAACGTCAGTTTCTTTTTTGTGTACTCAAAAAGTGAGTACACTACTAAAATCGGTCAGTGTGTCCGGCCGTCCGTCCGTTTATCCGATAACTTTCGAAAGGAGAGTCAGATCGCGATGAAATTTTCTACACAGTTCAGTCTTTACAATATCTCGGTCGAGTTCGAAGATGAGAAGAATCCGTCGAGAAATGGCTGAGCTATAAAAAAAATGGTGATTTTTGACCAGGCCATCCCTGAGGGGGGTACGGGGATTTTTCCAAAAAAAGTTTTTTGCTCATAATTATTCACAAAATACATTAATCGACTCAGTTTTTAACGCCGATTCTGAATCTGATATTAGTTTTGAAGCAAATTATAGTTATTGTGTACTCAAAAAGTGAGTACACTATAGGATAGTCAGTGGCCGTCCGTCCGGTCGGATGTTTACATGATAGCTTTTGACAGCAGAGTCAGATTGCGATGAAACTTTCTACACACCTTAATCTTAACAATATCTTGATCGAATTCGAAGATGAGAAGGATCGGCCGAGGCGTTCCTGCGTTATTGCAAAAATACGCATTTTCCCCTATGGCTTCCTATGGAAAAGTCGACCCACTACCACTTTCGTAAAGAACTTTTCCTATCGTAGTCAATTAAAACCCCAACTATTATGCACCATTCGATAGAGAATTTCAAGAGCTATAGAATGATATATAAAATATTAAGAAACAACAAAACTAACTCACCTATTGGTAAGATAAATAAGCGGGAGTAAGATCGGTTTGTAGTGCACGCTTCAATCGGTCCTCAAGGGGAACTCTGTCTTTCTATCATAGAGGTGATAATCGAAGGTTTTCTAGTATGGAGAACTCGAATCTGTACTCCGCTTGCCTCGAAGGTCTATTGGTTGAACATTGACCAATAGAAATTAAGTTATAGGTAAAACGGCTTTCTGAGGCTAAATTAGACAGAAGAGTTGAAATCTGAGCTTAATTCGGTCTCAAATCCTATTGATTTGTCAACCCGCAATAGAAATGAACATTTTAAATGGTAGATTTCCGAGTATAATATTGATGTTTTCGAGAGTCTAGGATAATTGATTTTATATGATTCACTTTTTCGAGTACACATAACTCTCGGATTTGAATCCGAAGTTTCCGCATTTATTTCTTTTCTGAAAATATTTATCGTCGTATTGTAGAGCATTAAACATTTTAGAATTTAAATTGAAAACTATAAAATAAAATTACGCATCAAACTAGAGGGTGCAACAGAATAAATGGTCGATCAGTATTTTCTTGATATATTGGTCAGTTTTAATTGCCTAGGCTTTTTTCCAGGCCTCCAGACGTTTCGCCGCGATCATTCCGAACATCCGTCTTTGATGCCGGATGTTCGGAATTGAGATTTTAGTCCCACAACGGATGTTCGGAAACCCCGTTTAAAATTTTTACGAACATCCGTTTTTTTTTCGATGATCGTTCCGAACATCCGTATTTTTCTTATGACGAACATCCGATATGTTTACCTTAAAAGTGATGATTTTTTGAAGAAAAACGGATGTTCGGAACGGACTACGACATTGAATGTTCAGAATGTAAAGTAGCGGAGAAACGTCAAAATGCCTTTTTCCAAAAGATTCGCCGTAGAATTCTGCACAAAACAATATAACTTACTCAACTGACATGTTTTTATTTTTATTTTTTTTTCTAGAATATGACTTTTTTAAGAACTAAGATTGTGCACAATTTTCTAAATCTGCATTTTTTTTCCCGAAAAGCGTTTCTATTTTAAAGTATTTTGGCTTAGTTTACGATATGTTGACAGATTATTAACGTTATTTGTATGCTAACTAATTCTTATTTAGAATGAATGATTCACCATAATGAACTGTAAACGTGTTATAACGAAAGTCACAACACTTCAAGAATAAAAATGCTTTTTGAAAAAAAAATGTAGATTTAGAAAGTTGTGTTTTACAAAGATAGAAAAATGTTTTAGTCTAGTAAATTATACTGTTTCATGCAGAATTCTACAATGAATATTTTGAGAAAAAAGTCGTTAATTAAAATTATGATCATCAAAATTGCTCAATGCCAACTCATTTTTGTATAAGAAAGAATCAATTTTCTCACTGAACATTTTATATTTTTCCGAAAAATGTTACATAACTTTATTTTCTGTCCATTGGCATTTTGAGTAATGTATGAAATTTGAGAAAAGCTCTTTGAACAAAAAAAAACGAAATAAATTTAGAAAATCCAGAAGATAATTTGAGCAAAAACAGCTTCTGTCGAGCTTGTTGAGCAAGGAAAAAATAATCAAATACACTTAGATATTTATACAGTTATATTCCGTTTTTGATGCTGAATTAGAATAAAAAAAAAAGTAGTTTGAATAATAAATGTGAAGAAAAAGTGTGCGAAAATTCAAGATTTCTTTAAATCATTTTTTTTACAAGTTTTCTAGAATCTCCTTTGTATTTTAAAGATGTTTCAATTAAAATAAGGTCATACTTAGAATCAGTTTCTCTTGACAAATTTTTCATCATACGCGATCATCCTTAAGTAATAAATTTAATTATTTATTTCTATATTAAGTAACATATTCGTTTGTTATACGAGATAATGAATATCTACATGTATCCAATTTTTTTAATGAATAAACAATATTCCGGATTTGAATTTTATTAAAACATAATCATATTCTTTTTATAGTCTTACACGAGACTTATTGCACGCATTGATAGTATTTGATGAGTAAACATCAATTTTTTACTCACATGAATGCTTACCATTCTTTTTTATCAATATATATAAATAACATCACCTTGTTCTTATCATGAAAAGTATCAATTTTCAGTAAATATGTTATTTTTGCTAATCTTTATTTGACATCTGCTTGATTCAGTCTTCTTTTTACTAATAAAATTTAAAAATAAAATGTTACAGTAAAAAAAAAACATTTAACAATAAATCCAAGCTCGATGATTTTTCGGTCGACAAGCGAATGGACAAAGATATTTTCGCTTATAGATTTCAAGAGAAGTTATGTTGGTACAACATGGTCTTATACATCCAAGAAAACAATTATCAGCTAATGGTCGTTGAGAAAGAAATGATCGACCACCAAGTTTACGACAACTATAACTATCGAACGTCAATGAATGTGTTTTAATATTTCTCCAAATAAGATCTGCAAGAAATTCTTGATCACCACCTGTATAGGTAAATTGAAGAGCAATAGATGGTACAAGCATAGGTCGAAAAAGATGAAATAAATAATGACGTGCACGTATAGGTGCTGCACCCCAAAGTCCAGCTAATATAGGTACATTATGGTGTTTATGATCACGTGACATATGAAAGAAATATTTTCTCTGTTCATCTAATAGCCACATATCAACCGTTTCAGTATCACGTTTCATAATAGGTGAATCAAGATCACGTGAAAGAAAATAATCAACAAATGGATCAAATATTGGTAAAAAACGCCACATTCTTTTTGGTAAATTTGAAATTAATGATGAACCAAACATAGGTATATTGTGCATATCACATATATCAATATTTGAAAAATTATGTAGAAAATCTTGTTGCATTTTTGTACTACCAGTAAAATCAATATAAAGACGAATAATCCATGATGGAAGAAATAATTTAGCTTCATTTGCAAGTGGTATTAAAAATGGAAATATAGTTGTTTCCCATGAAAACATTGCATTATCAGTATAGTTTTCTGTTGATCCATAAACTGAAATACTAATTACTTTTTGATGTGGTCCACGAAGATTTGATTGAATACTACATAATGATTGATTTGATTGAGTAAAATTTTCATAAGTATAAGTTTGTTTTTCTTCTGTAGGATTCAATGATTTTCTTTTCGTAGATTTTAATAGTTTACCATCCGAATAATTCAATGATTTGTTTGTAATTGGAACATAATATTTAACTTCATTTATTTCTGTATTATATTGACCAGCTCGAAATGCTAAAAATTCAGTATAGAAAACAATTATAAAAAATCCAATAATAAAAGGACTTGTTAAACGAAAATATCGTCGTCTACATTGACGATAATAGTTCCAGTTTACCATTTTTTATTTATATTGCTATCGATACGTTTTTTTTTCTTATTATCATTACGAATAGAATGCAATGATGTGTGACTTATATCAACATAAATCATTCTTTTATTTGATACACGTGCAAGTTAAGTTTCCTTTATCGACATATGACTAAACGATGATACAAAATAGACATTAAGTAAGAAGAAAAAAAAAATGCTTTTTTTCTTATTAACACCTATGTATTATTTTTATGAGTGAAATTTTTTGTATTATGATTGTAAGTAATATGTTAAATATCGAATATATAGTTAAGTTATAGAAATGACTAGTTAGAGTGTTTCTGTTTTATAGTTTTTTTTTTATTTCACAAAATTCAAATTTCGAACCTTCAATTAAATTATAATAAATAAAAAACTACGGAGATTTTCTCTTCTTTTTTCTTTTTTGCTAATCGATAGTTGACTTAATTTCAAGATATAGAAATTTATTTTCTTATTAATATTTCTTTTTTTTTATTGCTTTAAAATGTCCTACAAATTACTTGTTGTTTTCTCAATTTTTCTATCATATTCAATCATTCTTCAACTAATATTAAATAGTAATAAAATTTCCATGTAAGAATTATAGTCACAGATATAAAGGTCTGATTATTTATTCTTTTGTTCATCTATTTTCAATATGAATTGAACGATTTTTTAAGTATTCTTTACATTACACGGAAAGTAATCGAATTATACATAAAAAGTACATATGAAACAGATGATAGAAAAGAGGAAGAGGTTAAAGAGACATGTTCACATGAGAAAGGTATTTACAACAAAAACCATTCCATCAAATCCAAAGCCATTAATAACTAGTAGATGTTCATTAGTAGAGATTTTATTATAAATAAAATTTTTAATCATTCTACCATACAGTATATTTTGTGATCGTATTTTATAACAAAATGAAATAAATCAATGAATTATACAATTTTTTTTTTCAAACAACTGTATATATATATATCACATACTTTCTTTTTTTTTGTTTTGTGAAATATTTTAAATTTATTTGATTGTAAAACAAAGAAAAAAAAAATAAAACAAACAGAATAAATTTATTTATGATAAACATGAATTGTGTGTTTGCACACCATTTAATTTATTTTCATCAATTAATGGAGTTATTGTTGAATGATTATAAAATTGTACTGATTTTTTTCTATCTGTATTATTATTTTCAATTGATATTCTTCTATTTATTTGATGATCATTCGTATATTTATATGTTGATAAATATTCACATGGATTTAATTGATGTGGTTTTTTCTTTATTGATAATTGCAAATATGATAATGTTGATTCACGACGTTCATATTTTTGACAAGAAAGACAAAATATTTGTTTAAATGTATCACGAAATGCACGTGACATTAAACAATAAAGAATAAAATTAACAGAATTATTAATTAATGCTAATATATCAAATGTATCACCTACAAATAATACACAAAATAAAAAAAAATTATCACTCTATTTATCAAAATAGATATTTTTCAACATACCAAGTTGTTGATAAATTTGATAATAATATTTTGATCGTTGTTTTGAAACAAATGTTAAAAGTAATATGGCACCTTGAGGTAATTCTGTAATAAGAAATAAAATACAAACAATAACTAACATTAATGTTGTACGACGATTTTCTTTTTCACGTTTTCGTCCACGTATACGTCCATTATTCGTTACATTATTTGATAATATTGTATGTTTTTGTACTTTTTCAGTTTTTGCTAATGCTATTCTTAATTGATGTATTAATAAAAAACTGAATACAAGTAATAATATACATGGAATTAATTTAAACATAACACTATGTAAAACAAAAACTGTTTCACGTAATGATAAATATTTACTTAATCTTGTTTCTTCAAAACGATATGATGGTAAAATTTTTGTATAATTTTTTAATAATAATGTATCATTAATCAAATTTTCAACAATACAATGTTCAATATATGATGGTATACAAAGTATTGTTGAAACAATAACAACTATACTAACACCCATTAATGCACGATCTGGTCTTGACACATATGCTTGTAGAGTTCTACAACTTAAAAATAAATAACGAAAAGCAGCAAGAAGAACTGTTAACCTAAATGAAAAAAAATAAAACAATATTAAATTCTTTAATAGGAACAAAATAGTCAATATTTTTTATTTTATATTGTATTTTGATATTCATTGAGGTTACGAAAGCATGAAGAATAAATAGTAATTCATATTGACAATCGTCATTGGAGACGCTTTTTTCGCTGTTCATTGCCCCGCGGGACATATAAAATGAAGTCAACTATGGAATCGATTGGTAACTTAATAATAAATGCTGATCGTTTTTTTTTTTATGTTCAGTGTTCATGTCTTGTTTACATTATTTCAAAGGACTATAATAACGATCATAAATGTATTTAAGATCGATTAGAAGACATTTGAAAAAAAAGAAAAAACTTTGACATCGAGTGACAATAATGTCATTTTAATTTATTCTTAATGAACAATTATCATTCTGAATCGAATAACATCTAACTGGTTTTTTTTTTACTTGATCATTATTTATTAAATGTACTTGTTTGTAAATTATCTTTAATATATATGATAAATCATAAGTAATTATAAATTTATTTAAAATATAAAAATCATGTTACATTTTATTTGTTTTCTTTTTACGTTGAAAAATAAAATAGTTTTTCTTTTTTTATATTCATTTTCTATAGATACAAAAATAGCAAATATATATTTTTATATATTAAATCACTAAAACATATTCTTCTATAATACATAAGTAAATTCTCAATTTACTTTAAGATAAACACTTAATGTAATATAATCTTATATGAAAGAAAATATGCTTTGTTTTTTTGTTTCTTCTTTTTCTTACCATGTACTAATACAATGTAATGTTAATGCAACTAACATTTGTATCATATAAAATGTGACTTGAAAATGTGATGAAAAATCCGGTTCACTTTTACGTTCACTAATTTGTAAACAATAAAAAAGTATAGCTGCTGGTAAAACAAATAACATTTTAATTAAATCAGATATAGCTAATGATGTTAAAATTATATTTGTTGATGAACGCATTAATGGACGAGTTAATACAATTATATTAAATAAATTACATGTTAAACCAAATATACATACAAAACTGGATATAATACCATGATAATTACGATAAAGAGTTTTATAACGTACAAGTGAATTATTACTATCATAATCATTTATAAATATATCATTTGTATCAATGATTGATTGAGATATATTGATTACCAATTGTTCAGCTAATGTTGATGTTGAATATATATTTGTATCATCTTGATTATAGAATTGTAATGATGGTGGTGAATAGGGAGACATTATATTTAAAAATAAATCAATTGGTAAGGCTAGAAAAAGTAATGAAACATGATTAAAGATATTATATTAATAGTTTTCTTAACTATAAGAAAATATTTATATTTATATATTTTTATGATTTTATTTCACAATTGAACATAATGTAATATTAGCTTCAACTCATACAAAGACTGTTAATTTATCTTTTTCTCTAAGTTTATCTTCATAAATTTTTGTCTTTAGTATTAATGGAATTTTCATTTACTTGAGTCATATGAACAAGAATTAAAGTATCCAATAGAAAGAATTCCTTTGTTTATATGAGTTTCTTTTCTATGGTTTATATTAGATTTGATACTTCTTGACAAGTTATATTCATAATCTCCTATAAACATCATTAATATAAGAATATTACATTCGATATACAAGAAAAATGTCATTCTATATCGAAAAGAGAATAATCTTATACTTATTTTTATTGTCTATATACTCGGAAGTATACTATGTAGATTCAATAAGTGCACAAGAGATTGATTTAAATCAAGGACATTAAAAGAAGAAAAGAGAAAACTCATAATTGACAATGTTAAGTTGAGCGAAAACAGGAAATAACAGCAAAATCAACTCATCTAAAATAACTGACGATAAAACTTCGTCAATACTTCTTATAATATGGGATCGATTATTGTTTTGATGACTAATCAATTTATTTAAGTTTGGGTGTTCTGAAGTGTATGTGAATCTTTTACATCTGTTTATGGTTTTTTTTTATTCTTTCTTCAAAAGAATAACTCTACTAAAACAATAATCAGTAATGTGATACATTCGACTGTCGTTATCATTATTCTAATAACAATACATTTTTGAAGACAATAAATATGCTATAGGATAAGAAGAAAACTCGTTCTTTGTTTCATATAAGTTTTTTTTGTATTACATATTCTATTGAATAATCAATACTTACGTTTAAGAAATAGCTCTTCCATTGATGATAGTTTTATTTATAAATAAATAACATTTAAAAAATAAATAAAATAAACACTGATGATATGAAAGAAGATCAAATGAAAAAAATAATAAAATAAAAAATATTCTATATTGATAATGTATGAACTTCGTTTTTCCTTAAAAGTAATAAAGGAAGAACACTCAAAATATTTTGAGTGGGCAAAATTGATGCGACTGTAAAGAGAAAGAAAAGTACGTGTATGATAGTGAAATGGTTCATTTTTTCTTTCCGTTTTGTAGTTATTTCCGAGAATAAGATAAAGAAAAGAAAAATGGAAATAGAATAGGGTGGAGTAAATACAATTTGTAATTATTATTAATATTAAGAAAAAAATAGTAATTAGAAACAGTAATCATCTGTTGATTGACATCAAATATCATTAGAATTTACTTTTTTATTCATATTCTCATCATTAACAATCTGATAACAGATGTTCTATATATATCAAGACTATTTTTCTATATTTTCAGAAAATCTATTTCTTAATCAAATAAAAGTGTTTACTGAAGTTCCTACTAATCCAAATAAAAAACGTTAGTATATATATATATATTTATTTGTTTATTATTTTTTTGAATGTTTAACAATATTTTGTTTTTTATTGAGAAAAATGTAATTGTCATATGAATATTTTACAAGAA